CGTTTCATAGTTGGTGAAAAGTTTCTTCTCTATGCGATGCCCGTCTTGTTCTGTATCCAGGCCCGGTTGACGGCGCTGCCGAGGTCCGCGTAGACGCCCGCGTACCCGCCGGAGCCGCAGCCCACCCCCCAGGAGACGACGCCCACCTGGACGCCCAACCCGTTGACGAGCGGGCCGCCGACGTCACCCTGCCGGACACCAAGACCAAAGACCGTCCAGTATGTTACCTTCCGCGGGGGCAAGACGACCTCAATGAAAAACTAGCGAGGGGTGCATAACTCCTGAACTGGGTGTACAAATTTCATGAATTAAATTCGAATTAGCTTGAATTTGTTTTAATTATTGTGATTTTATTTTTCTGAATTAGCGTGGTGAATTGACTTGAACTATGACTTGAAATGGCTTGAATTGACTTGAATTAAATTCTGACCATGGTCTTAAATTAGACTGAATTAGTTGAATTAATTTTCAATTCGTTTGAATGAAATTGAATTGGTCTGAATTAGTTTGAATTGGGCGGAATTAGGGGCGTACACTTGACAGGGGAGTTTATCCACCCCTTTGAGAACTAGAGTTTGTCTGTCGTTACCCAGCACGAGTCCTTGCCGCTCATCCCCGCGCAGATCATGGAGTCGTCGATGAGCCTGCCTCGGTCTTCGTACGAGATCCTGCAGGTGGACCTGGGCACGTAGGGCAGACTCACTGCCCGCAGGTCAGAGGGCCCGTCCCAGTCGTAGTACTGAACGAAAGATAAAAAAAAAGAATACCAAGATAGCTAAACTATGAAGCTAAATAGGGGCCAACTAATTAATTAGCTATGAAGCTCGAAATTTAGCTATGTTGCTAAAAAACAAAATTTAATCAAGTAACAAACAGAAATCGCCGAGGGGGAGGAAGTGGCCGTCGAGGTGACCGTCCTGCTCGACCCCTCGCACTCACGCTGTCGGTGCCCCAGCCGGACACGGAGAGCGTGTCGGTCGACTTGGGCAGGGTGCCGACGACGGTCATGCGGACGGGCTGCGCCTTGGCCGAGAACACGATGTCGTCGTCGACCTGGACGACGGCCACGTCGTGCTGCCGCCGCTCGTTGACGTACTGGTCGTGGAGGGCCAGCCACCTGACCCCGACGAGCGTGCCGCCCTGCTCCTTGACGTCCGTAGCGTAGCGGACCCCGTAGATCGTGGGGTCATCGATCCTGTGTGAGCGAGCGCGCGCAGTGAGGACACGGTGGTACTACGAGTGCACCTGTACTTAGTGCAGCATGCAGGGCGAGTTCTATAGTGCAGCATGCAGGGCGAGTACTATGGTGCAGCATGCAGGGCGAGTACTATAGTGCAGCATGCAGGGCGAGTACTATGTATAGTGCAGCATGCCGGGCGAGTACTTTAGTTCAGCGTGAAGGACTGGTACTATAGTGCAGCATGAAGGGCGAGTACTATAGCTTGCAGGACGAGTACTAAAGTGCAGCGTGCAGGAGGGCGTGCAAGTCACGGATCAAGGAATGGGGGTAGAAGGAACCCCTTGAAAATCATGCACACAGAAAATACAAAAGAGAATGCTCTATAGATTACAAAAAAAATGCACACGTCAAAAGAAGCGCCAAAAAAAACGCTAAAAATAAAATAAAGCATGAGTACGAGTAGTGTTCCGCAGAAATACAGTAGATGCTGCTACTACTCACCCGTAGATGCAGTGGGCGGCCGTCAGCACCCACTGCTTGCTGAGGATGGAGCCTCCGCACTGGTGGGTGCCATACTGCTCCAGGGAAACCTGGGAAATTGAAGGGAATTAATTGTTACTGCAACTCGCCGCACCGCACTGTTAAAACCTTACGAAGAAATGCTTTTTAATTACAAACAAAATGCTTCGTAATTATGAAGGATTTAGATGCTTTGTAATACACTGTTAGAAAAAACCACGGAAAAAACACAGCAAAACTATGGTCAATTTTTTGCCCAGAACGTCCGTCCCAATCTGTGCTGAAACCACAGAGACGGTACGGAATCAAAGGTACAGAAAACCACGGAGCTTCTGTTACGGAACGTCTGTGCTACTCCGTACACCTGCCACAGAATTATTACAGATATTTTCTGTGACTTAGCCATTCTTTTCTAGACATAGTTTTGTTGAATTAGAAGGATCGTCGTCTTCGTAGGATTCTTTGGTACCCAAAGAGAGTCAAAAATTCAATTTCATTGGCGCTTTATCACAGGAGTGCAGCGCGCGTGAAACTATCTCCCAATTGCAACCAATCAGGGTGGGACACTACATGGTGACCAGGACGGAAGTGATCAGCGCGAGGTAATGTAGAATGCCATCTAGCGGCGTCTTCGGACGCCTTACCACTGAGACACAATATCTGTTACAGATGGGTCCGCGACCCTTGAATGACAGACTATTTATATGACGGAAACAATCTGTACGATTCTGTTCTGTTTTTTCTGTGATTTTGAA